TTCCCTGTAATTTCCAGCTGCTGGACTGTGACCTTTGTTGTTTCCTTCCAGCTGTTGTGTCCCTGTCCCTTTAAGACTTTCAAAAAGCACTCGCTTTTCTTTGTCACACGGGCATCAGCTTCGGACCTCACTCAGAGGTCTTGCTGCCCTGTTTCCCTAGTTTTCAGCCCTCCACGCATGCACTGTGTCTGTGCTCTGGTGCGGATGGCTGTGGCTGGGTGTTCAGCAGTCCTGGGCTCCCTCTCCCTCCCCACTCCGACTCCTCTCCTCCCACCGGGAGCTGGGGTGAGGGGTGCTCGGGTCCCGCCTGGCCGGGGCTTTTATCTTACCCCTTTCACCAGGCGCTGGGCTCTCGCACATGTGGGTGTAGTCTGGCTATTGTCCTGCGTCTTCTGGTCTCTCTTTTAGGATTAGTTGTATTTGTTGTATTTTCAAAAATATATATGTTTTTGAGAGGAGATTCCCACTGTCCTACTCACTCCGCCATGTTGGCTCCACCCTTTTTGCAATTAGTTTTTATAACAATTTTTCCTTCTAGTTCAGATCCACTTCAGGTCAGTTATTGAATTTAGTGGTCAAGTCTCTTTGGCCTTCATTAATCTGGAGCATTTGCACAGCCTTTTTTCATCTTTTATGAAAATGATGCTTTGGAAAAATGCAAATATCTTTTAGTAGAATGTTCTTCATTTTGGATTTACTTGATTTTTAACTTGCAATTCAGTGCAGGTAATGGATTCTTTTAGGTGTATGTCCTCAGGGTGTCACTTCTGGAATCACATGATGTCCATCTCCCCCCACCTAGCCAAGCATTGTGTAATTTCTCAGACCATAGCAGGAACACTTAGCTCTTTTTATGTCTGTGTAATTACTATTTTTTTTTTCCTTTTAGTCTGGGGGGAATATTTTAAGACCATGAATATATACTGCTCCTTGTCAAAATTTCCCCCTAGATTTAGAATCTATTAACAATTCTTCCTTCATCCAATCCTTACTCTGACAGCTGCAGAATGCCAATTTTGTTTTTTCCTACTCTACTGCTCCCTCCACGTTTACCAGCTGACCCTGGTATTCTGCTGTAAGCAAGAGGTCTCTTACTCTCCCCTATTTGTATCTGTGTGGTCTCATGAAATCTTATTTTCAATGGTTTATAATTCATTCATAATTATTACGGAGCCTAAATTGGGTGTGCAAGCTGGCTCTATAGTGTTGTGACATGCCCCCATGGTGTTGTTGAGCATTTCCTTACTTGCTGGAATAACAAGATGCTCCAGCTCATCCTGTATATATCCTGTCCCCAGCCTGGAATCTACCATCTTTCTGTGGGGCTCTGGTTCCATTTAGTAAACAATGGTTGTAGAGACCAAGGGCAGGATGCCAGATGTGTTCATTACCACTGAGGTGCTTTTGCTTCTTGGCTTTTCAGCATAGAGCTAGGGAATATATGTACATATACACACTGACATCTGAATATGAATACATTTATATGTGCACATACACACATACATAGAATTTAGAAATCAGTAGGTGGCACCAGGACCTCTGATTCATCCCCACAGGGTTCTTATCTTGCCTTCCCCTAGTCCATATTTTTATGTCCCTTCTTCCTCCAGGAGAGCCCTGCCTCACAACTAAATCAACACACTTACACTTAGTCCTGTAACACATCTAAAATTGTTTCAAACTCACATTGCCCGTACCACTGCAAAAAACAAACCAGCTATGTTCAGTTGTTTACAGCACTTCCCCACAGCCTCCTCCACCCTTCTGAAGACTGGAAGTATGTAGCATATGTTGCATATTCTGTAAGTAATTACATGGATTAGCTCTGTATTTCCGTTTATTTCCTTCCTGTGGTTACTTACGTGAGACACAGATGACTTCATTTGTTTCCATTTGCTTTCTGGTGTAGCTGATTTCCCCCTTTTCCATTATCATTAATTTGATTTTACTCTGTGCCGAACATTATCATGCTTCCTTGAGGAAAAACAACACAAAAAGCTGTACTTAAGAGTATCTCTCTCCCCCATCTCTTCTGCTGTACTTCCCCCACCCTACCCCTTATAGGTAACAGGTTTCATAGGTTTCTGGTATCTCTCCTTACTTTAAAGGTAAGCAGATATATGCTTGTTTTGTTATTTTCCTTCTTTCCTATATAAAATATAATATATAGACTCTTTTTCACTTAACACTATATATCCTGGAAATTTCTATTAGTCAGTTCATAGAAATATTCCTCATTCTTTAATATTCCCTTGGGTGTATGTGCCCTGGTTTAACCAGTCTTCAATGCTTGGACATTTAGGTCGTTTTCCAGACTTTGTAGTAATAAATAGTTCTACAGTGAATAACTTTGTGCATATATACTTTTGTATTGTTGGAACAGGCACTGCAGTATAAATTCCTAGATGGAATTTCTGTTTTGAAGTGTAAATGCATACAATTATGTTAGATATTGGCAAATTCCCAGGGGTTATGCCAGTTTGCATTCCCAGTGATGTATGAGTGCCTGATTGCCCAACAGCTTCACCAGCAGAGTATTGTCAAGGTTTTAATATTTGCCAACTTGACATATGAGAAATGGTATCATAGTTATTTGCATTTCTCTTATGAGTGAAATTGAAAACATATTTAAGGGCCATTTTAATATCTTTATGGATTCCATGTATTTTGTCCATTTTTCTATAGGATTTTTAGTCTGTTTTTCTCAAGTCTTTGAAAATTATTCATGTTTTAGGGATTTTGCCCTTATATATCAGGCATGTTGCAGATATTTTCTTCCCCTTAGACATTTATTTCTTGATTTTGCTTTTGACATTATTGCCATGCAATTTTATTTTTATTTTTATATATCAAATATACTGTTTTTTATTTGCTTAATCTGGATCATAGTTAGAAAACTTTCTGTATTCCCAGATTACAGAGGCATTCACCCACATTTTCTTCTAAAATTTGTATAATACTTTTTTAATATTTAGAGCTCTGCTTCATTTAGAGTGTATTCCTGTGTAAAGAATGGATCTGGTTTTATCTTTTTTCAAATGGCTTTATAATTGTTCTGACACTGTTGTGAAGACCATCTTTGCCCCAGTGATTGTTTACCATATTTATCATATACTTGATTTCTATGTGTTGTAAGGGCTGTTTCTGGACTCTTGTTCTACTCCATTTGTCTATCTGTACACCAGTACCACATTTGTGTAATTACAGAGGCTTTGTGGTTTGTTTGAATTTCTAGTATGACTAATCACTAGTGTACCCCCCAAAGATCTTCATTTTCTGTTTTTCTCTAGCAATTTTTATGCACTTATTTTACGGGATTTGATTTTAGGGCTGTAGGAACTTGAACATCTTTCTCTCCTGAGGGCTGAAGATGTATGGACATAGAGGGCTAAGGCCAAAGGGAATGAATGGAGCAGGGCCCCTCATATGTGTGAGAACAGGCTTCAGGGCATGAATAAAAGGTGTGTTACTATTGATGTTCTGGAATTCCACTGTCCACTCAGTAGCCCCCATATTTTAAGGGACATAGACTGCTGTGCCCAAGGTAGTAAAGAAAGGTAGAAGGAACTAGTCCATGCCACTATTCCTCAGTGACCTCTGAAGATCTCTTACCTGGCAGTGCTTACAGTCATTTTGTGAAGCTTCTGTAGCTGAACCATCTTTTGGCTTAATGTCCCGCTGAGTGGTGCTTTATTTTCCTGTTGCCGAGTTCTCGCCTTTTGTATCTTACTTTCCTTTTATCACTCCTGCTTCCTCCTCAAGGCTCACATACAGTTTCTAAGTAGCATTGACAGAATTCCAGAGTACTGACTCCAGAAGCCAGGGCAAGAGTGGAGATCCAGATTTTAATTAAGTCTAATTATTAAGGTTGGGGGATAATAAGCATAGACTTGTTTCTTTTGTTCTCAAGAGTCTGTCAGGTGGTGGATGTGGATGGAGTGCTATCTTTGTATAGAGTGCCTTCAGGGGAATAGAGTCCTGCCTAAACCCTAAAATCTGCTTTAGGAAGTTTACCTTTCCCAAGTCCTGTGCTCTATCTCCAGGTTTCAACCCTGATCCAATAATCTGACTTCTAATAAATAATAAAGCACATAGCATTCAGGGAGTAACAAGCATTGTTCTCAGTGCTTTATATATATTACCTCATTTAATAGGTCAGCATTCTTGTTTCATTTTACAAATGAGTAAACTGTGGCACAAAGAGGTTAAATAACTTTCTGAAGGTCATACAGTGAGGTTTTGAACCTAGGCAGTATTATTTCCTTTGTCTGATTTGTATTTTAGCTTCTAATCCTTGATATGCTCTGACTGCAGTTAGCCTCTTCATAAAGTAGGAGTGAAAGCTTCTTTGCCTGGTAGGCCAAAGCATGTTTTTCTGTAAGAATTCCTCCCTGACTACCCATTTTCCAGAGTCAGTGTTTTCCTTGCAAGGGAAGGCCAAGAGGCCAAAATGAACACCAGTCAGCTGCGGTTTGCTTGCTTTCTTAGCCCTGACATGACTATCTCCATGATTCATAACCATCTCCCTGATATCTCCACCCTGGTACTGATTTCTCCTCTTTAGTTTTGCCTGTTCTCTAGTGATTATGTCTTCTTAACTTTTATCTTATTAATTTTTCTGTTCCCTCTTCAGAGATTTATTCTACCCTCTGATTGTTTTTCCATGAGTAGGTGACATTTTTCAAAAACATCAATGTTGCCCTTGGTTCTGTGTGTCATTCCAACCCATTTCAGCTTGCTCTCATGCTAAGCTGTTATGCAAGACTAGAAAAGCTTTTTGGTCCATTGAAAATTCAGGGCTGTAGCATTTTAACATTAGCTCTGCAGAGATAGAAGTTTTGGCATGTCTACCACTGTATCCCCAGTGGTTAAAAGTGATACCTATCATACAGCAGGCAGTCAGTAAACATTTGTAAAGTGAATAGGTGAATTTGGATGTAAGTTCTTCCATTTTCTTCTAAACAAAGTAAACAGGTATCATTTTCATTTTCTTGGTTTAGTGTCACATTTGAAGACAGACACTGAGGATGAGGAACCAACTGAAAAATATGAAAATATTGGAAATGCAGAATCTCTGTGGCCAAAAGTGGAAGGTCTTCACAAGGATTACATGCAGGAATCTAAGGTTGGTGAAACTTGTGATTGGGATAGCAAGTTAGAGAATCAGTTGGAAAAGCCTGAGGGAAGAAGAATGAAGGAAGATAAAAGTGGTGTCAGGGCAAAGACTGGCAAAGCCAATAATACAGCAAATATAAAGACAGAACAGGAAGATGAGGCATCTGAGAAAAGCTTACATCCAAGCTCAAAACATGTTACCCACCAGACTGTGCCTGTAGAACAGAAGAGGAGTGAACAAGGCAAGTGTGTGGAGAATGTTAATGGGAACTCCCACCCTGGTCTACAGCAAAAAACCAGTTCTGTTAAGAAATCACATAAGTGTGAAGAGTGTGGGAAATGTTTCAAATATAATTCCCGCCTTGTTCAACATAAAATTATGCACACGGGGGAAAAACGCTACGAGTGTGATGACTGTGGAGGGACATTCCGGAGCAGCTCAAGCCTTCGTGTCCACAAGCGGATTCACACTGGGGAGAAGCCATACAAGTGTGAGGAATGTGGGAAAGCGTACATGTCCTACTCCAGCCTCATAAACCACAAAAGCACCCATTCTGGGGAGAAGAACTGTAAGTGTGATGAGTGTGGGAAGTCCTTCAATTATAGCTCTGTATTGGACCAGCATAAGAGGATCCACACTGGGGAGAAACCCTATGAATGTGGTGAGTGTGGGAAGGCCTTCAGGAACAGCTCTGGCCTCAGAGTCCACAAAAGGATCCACACTGGGGAAAAGCCCTATGAATGCGATATCTGTGGGAAAACCTTCAGTAATAGCTCTGGCCTGAGGGTCCACAAAAGGATCCACACAGGGGAGAAGCCCTATGAATGTGATGAGTGTGGGAAGGCCTTCATTACTTGCAGAACACTTCTAAATCATAAAAGTATCCACTTTGGAGATAAACCTTATAAATGTGATGAGTGTGAGAAATCATTTAATTCTAGCTCTCTCCTCATTCAGCATAAAGTCGTCCACACTGGAGAGAAACCTTACAAATGTGATGAATGTGGGAAGGCCTTCAGGAACAGCTCAGGCCTTATAGTTCATAAAAGGGTCCACACGGGAGAGAAACCTTACAAGTGTGATGTCTGTGGCAAAGCATTCAGCTATAGCTCAGGCCTTGCAGTCCACAAAAGCATCCACCCTGGGAAGAAAGCCCATGAGTGTAAGGAGTGTGGAAAATCCTTCAGCTATAACTCACTTCTTCTTCAGCATAAAACCATTCACACTGGAGAAAGACCTTATGTATGTGATTTGTGTGGGAAAACTTTCAGAAACAATTCAGGCCTCAAAGTCCACAGGAGGCTACATACTGGTGAAAAACCATATAAGTGTGATGTGTGTGGAAAAGCGTACATTTCACGCTCTAGCCTTAAAAACCACAAAGGAATCCACCTTGGTGAGAAACCCTATAAATGTAGCTATTGTGAGAAGTCCTTCAATTACAGCTCTGCTCTTGAACAACATAAAAGGATTCATACAAGGGAAAAACCCTTTGGGTGTGATGAATGTGGAAAAGCCTTCAGAAATAATTCAGGTCTTAAAGTACATAAACGAATCCACACTGGGGAGAGACCTTACAAATGTGAAGAATGTGGGAAAGCCTACATCTCACTCTCAAGCCTTATAAATCATAAGAGTGTACACCCTGGGGAAAAGCCCTATAAGTGTGATGAGTGTGAAAAAGCCTTTATCACATACCGAACCCTTATAAACCACAAAAAAATTCATCTTGGGGAGAAGCCCTACAAATGTGATGTATGTGAGAAATCTTTTAATTACACCTCACTCCTTTCTCAACACAAAAGGGTTCACACTAGAGAGAAACCCTATGAATGTGACAGGTGTGAGAAGGTCTTCAGAAACAACTCAAGCCTTAAAGTACATAAAAGAATTCATACTGGGGAGAAGCCCTATAAATGTGATGTGTGTGGGAAAGCCTACATCTCACATTCAAGCCTTATTAACCATAAAAGTACCCACCCTGGCAAGGCACCACATACTTGTGATGAATGTGGAAAAGCTTTTTTCTCAAGCAGAACTCTGATAAGCCATAAAAGAGTCCATCTTGGGGAGAAACCCTTCAAATGTTTTGAGTGTGGGAAATCTTTCAATTACAGCTCACTCCTTTCTCAACACAAGAGGATCCACACAGGGGAGAAACCCTATGTGTGTGATAGGTGTGGGAAGGCATTCAGGAACAGCTCGGGCCTCACAGTGCATAAAAGAATTCACACAGGTGAGAAACCCTATGAATGTGATGAGTGTGGGAAGGCATACATTTCACATTCAAGTCTCATCAACCATAAAAGCATCCACCGTGGGCAGCAGCCCTATAATTGTGAGTGTGGGAAATCCTTCAATTATAGATCTGTCCTTGACCAACACAAGAGGATCCACACTGGAAAGAAGCCATATAGATGTAATGAGTGTGGGAAGGCTTTTAATATCCGATCAAATCTCACCAAGCATAAAAGAACCCATAATGGAGAGGAATCAATAAATGTGACAAGTGTGGGAAATCTTAGTGGTACAACGCAGAAGAGAACTCATGATGGAGGCAATGGTCTAGATGGGACCAGGGTGAGCATATTTCTGTAGGAGGCAAAGTTACCAAATCTCGAACTCATATGGAAGAAAAACCTGATAAGTGTAAGGATATCTGAGGTCCTTATAATTTACATAGTATTGGTGAAACCACAAGTAGTCTTTTCTATGTGATCCTCAATCACAGCCAGCAAGGAGGCCTACACTGTCAAGGTAGTTGAGTCCTTATGGAATATAAAATAGGTGATACTGGGGATAAAACCTAATGATTTAAAAAATCTTCAAAATCAGCAGACATTTCTGGACATATAAGAAAACATGGATGAGTAAAGGACTTCCATTACAAGTCACATGATCACCACCAGAAAGTTCATATTTGGGTAAATTCTGTGAATAGAAATGGGAAATTGAGGTATAGTTTTGAATCCCAATTAGACATTGATCAGTGGGAAGAAGAATGGCCTCCAATAGGCAGATTCAGGGAGAGAGAGGTTTCAGGGAATATACATTTATTTAATAGTAGTGATCTTGAAGTGTAAACGATATAATGGGGTGATGACAAATTCTGAAAATATGTATTTTGTAGGAAGAGTAAAAAGCATAGACAAATCTGATAGAGTCACTAGAAAAAAAATGACTGTACTGTTGTAATGTTATGATACACTAGTTGAATGGGTGAAACTTTTTAAAAATTTCAAATGAACCCCCTCAATGGATTAATGAAATGGATTGATGAAAACCTCACATACAATTTGGTACAAATAAAAGGTTCTACCATGGGGGGAAATTGAGCATATCAGTAACTAATGGAATATGTCATCAACATGGATTCACCCCTACATGAGGATTTATTCAGGAATTCCCATGAATAAGAATGCTGAGGAGAGCATTTATTGCAGGAGCTAAAAAGCTAACTAGCTACCAATAATCGAGGGATAGGAAGAAATTCATGCTTAATAAGCCTGTTAAATATTTGGAATGTGTTACTGTAAAGGTTTGATACGCTACATGTGTGTATTGTCTGTTGTAAAATGTTATGAATACTTTGTTCAGGGCTTACTCTGTCTTGGCCATAAAGTTGTGAGATGAGGTGGAATGGCAATAAATTCCTCCAAAGTAAACAGGCTGTGACCGACTTCACATGGAGCAATATGCAGAGAAAGCTATTTGTGTGTCACATCTTTGTGGAGTAAGTTATACCAGATCCAAACCAGGCTGGGCAGCAGGGAACTAATCCTCAGGACTGGTTGCTTAGGTTTCATGAGAAATCAGAAGTGCAGAATTGATTGATCCTAAACCTGGGCCTGGAACATAACTCCTGGGAGTGGGCAGGCTGTGAGATTGATCAGTCACCACACAGAAACAGTTGCATCAGAAACAGAATATAACAAAATATTGTTTAAAGCTGTTAACTAGGTAACAGGGTAAAAGGAGAGTCTTGTGAGAAGTAACCTGTCCAAGAATATGCTCAGTGAGACCTATCTGTAGAGGCTGAATTCTCAGTTCTCTGCCTCCAAAATTCACTCTACAAAAGAATAATCTATAGCCACATAGTTTCCTGTCTTCCCTATGTTGTCTGGATTTTTCTCTGACCACATAGGCTACTGGCTTCCCTAGGATTTCTATGTTTTTAGCTACATAGGTTCCCAGCCTCTGTCTGGGAGTGTTAATCTTACACTTTGTCTCCAAGTCCCCACTAATAAGTTTTGATGCACTGGGGAGGGATGGGGCTAAGGGGGAAGGAGAAAGCATTTCTGCCAGTCCATTCCACTTTGGAATATCACAACCACACTTTCTCTGTTCTCTACATGGAATACTGGAAATCCTGACCCTTTTCACAGACTTGGATTAGTTTATTCAGCAAATGCTTGTTGAGGATTTGATAGGCACAGTCCACTGTTCTAGGCACTAGGAAGCAGTAATAAATACAGGAGAGATGAGAGTTCACAAGCAAAGCCACCCTGATGCTGAGCGAACTCTCTAGTGTTCAGAGGAAAGTGATGGCCACTAGCTGGGAAGAGGGAGGCAGCACTAAGGCCTGACCAGAACAATTGAACTGGGAATTTTTTAAGAGAAAGGAGTGGGAAATAGGATGACCTGAACAAAGGTGGCATCAGAAAGGCTCACACATCCTCCTCCAGAATGGCCCATCCTAGGCAGGGCTGGTTCCCAGTGAGCAGAAAGGAGCGAGTCTGTGGAGTATCCAATCCCAGGGCTCAGAGTGCTGGTTTGAGCTTACATTTACATAAGACCAGTCTTAACTGTTCTGGATGATTAGGTTAACAGGTTTCTGTGTGTCTGAGCTGTCAGTGTGCAGTGGCTCAAGGCCCTCAACTACCTCATTCATACACACACCTATTTGAGCTCCACCTGGACTGAATGCACCACCTACTTTCAGGAGAGACAGGTTTAATAACAAGGGAAAGTACAGCTACCACACACATGGGGATGCTGAGTGCCCCAGC